CATCATGTGCTTCCTGATATGGTTTATTAACAAGACACAACGACATTCCTGTGTTTCTAGTCTTGCCAAAGTGCATAAACTGAATCTAATTATGAGAAAACATCAGATAAACTCATCGTGAGGAATATCCTACAAAATAAATAGCCTGTATGCTACAAAAAAGCCAAGATGATGAAAGACAAACATTGAGGAGCTGTTATAGATTAAAAGAGACTAAAGAGACAACTAAATGCATTTGGCTCCTGGGCTAGGGAAGAAAACCCTTTTTCTTTGTTATAAATGACAGTGGGACAACTGACAAAATCTTAATAAGGTTTATGGATTATTTTCTGATTTTGATCACTGTACCATGATTATGTAAAAGAATGTTCTTGTTTTTAGGAAATAGACACTAAAGTATTTAGGGGTAATGGGGCATTATATCTGCTACTTAATTTCAGAATAATTTCAGAAGAAATTATATATGTACACACGTGAAGAAAGAGAGAATAAGGCAAACATGGTAAAATTTTGGGAAATCTAGGTGAAGAAATTGGAATATTTTGTACTATTTTTGCAAGCCTCTCTATAAGTCTCAAAGTATTTGAAATTTTAAAAATACAGGTATCACAAGGATTCCGAAGAAGTCAGCTTAAAAGGGCTCCCACTGGCCAATATGGGCAATTTGAGCACCAAAATGATTAAGTACAGTGGTGATTTAAACCATTAAAAAAATATGAATCCATACTGATTAATAGATACATAAAAAATGGAGGAAAAAAGCAGTCTTTCATTTATAGCAGAGTATTGAGGGCTGGTGGAAGTAGTGAATTGTATGGCATGTAAATTATATGTTAATAAGTCTATTTGAAAAGTAATCAACAGATGAATGGATAAACAAATGTGGTATATCCATACAATGGAATAGTATTCAACCTTAAAAGAAATCCTGTTACATGTTGCAACATGGATGAACCTTGAGGACATTAAGCTAAGTGAAATAAGCCAGCCACAAAAAGACAAGTATTGTATGATTCTACTTCTATGCAATATCTAAAGTGGTCAAAGAGAAACAAGGTAAAATGGTGGTTACCAGGGGAGAGGTGGAGTTGTTTAATGGGTATAAAGTTGTAAATTTGCAAGATGAAAAAGTTCTGGAGATCTGTTTCACAACAATTTGCATATACTTAACATTACTAAACATAATTTTTAAGATGGTAAATTTTGTTATGTGTTTTCTACCACAATAAAAGAATGGAAAAATCATTTTCATCCATTACAGTAAAGACTGAATCAGGCAAAAAGCAACAATGGTTGTTAAATCTAAATGGAAATTCTGATGATGAGCAAGAAGACTTGTGTATGGTCACAACAAAGTGTCTCCCCATAAACTGCTTAGTAATTGCAAGAGAGGATAAAATAAAACAAAATAGTAATTATATAAGAGAAAAACTGAGTAAAACCACTGTTATTCAATGAAGTATTAGATAACACAGCCACAGCAGTCAGGCAAGAAAAAGCAATAGAAGGCATCAAATTGGAAAGGAAGTAAAACTGTCACTATTTGCAAATGACATGATACTATCTATAGAAAACCCTAAAGAATCCATCAAAAACTAATAGAATTAAAAGAATTCAGTAAAGGGCCAGCCGAGTGGCGTGTTGGTTAAGAACTGGCTTGGGATGCCAGAGGGCCCCAGTTCGGATCCCACATGAGGGCCAGTGATGCTGCCCTATACAGCTAAGATGGTGAACAACAGCTCGACCTGGAGCTGGGCTGCCGTGAGTTGCTGGCGACAGCGTAGGCTGCAGCCCCTGCTACAGTGGGCTGCCATAAGCTACCATGTGTGGCCGGCCGCCAGCGTGAGCTGCCAAGAGCCACCGTGAGCGGCCATCCAGAGGCCGGCAACTGATCTGCCTCCCCAGGAAGAGCGCAATGATAATACCAACATGGGCCAGTGAAGCAACGTCCTCCACAACTAGACTGAAGAACAAAAAGGACAGCAACTTGTCTGTTCTCCTTCCCCCGATTCCCCAGCGCTGTTCCCCTCCCCCAATTCCCCAATAAAATCTTAAAAAAAAACATTCAGTAAAGCAGCAGGATACACAAGTAATTTACAAATATCCTATTCCTGTACACTAATAATGAACAATCAGAAGGACAGATTAAGAAAGCAATCTCATTTACAATTGCATCAAAAGAATAAAATACCTAGGAATAAATTCAACTTAGGAGGTAAAAGACCTATAGTCTGAAAACTGTAAGACATTTAAAGAAAGAAAGTGAAGAGGAACAAATAAATAGATATATTGTGTTCATGGACTGGAAGTATTAGTATCATTAAAATGCCCATACTATTGAAAGCAATCTACAGATTTAATGCAATTCCTATCAAAATACCAATTGCATTCTTCTCAGAACTAGAACAAATAATCCTAAAATTTATGTGGAACCTCAAAATACCACGAATAGAAGAATCACTCTTGAGAAAGAGAACAAAGTTGGAGGTATCACACTCACTTATTTAAAATTATACAACGTTAAAATAAAATAGTATGGAACTGGCACAAAAACGAACAGATAGATCAGTGGAACAGACTAGAAAGTCCTTATGTGGTTGACTAATCTATGATAAAGTAGGTAAGATTGTGCAGTGGAGTAACAATAGTCTCTTCAACAAGTGGTGTTGGGAAAACTGGACAGATACATGCAAAAAAATGAAACTGAACCACTCTCTTACACCATATACAAAAATAAACTCAAAATGGATTAAAAGACTTAAACGTAAGGCCTGAAGCCACACAACTTCTAAAAGAAAACATAGGAAGTAAACGATTTGACATCAATCTGAGTGATTTTTTTTTGGATATGTCTCCTCAAGCAAGGGAAACAAAAGTAAACAAATGGGATGTCATCAAACTAAAAAGCTTCTGCACAGTGAGGGAAACCATCAACAAAATGAAAAGATAACCTCCTGAAAGAGAATATATTTGCAAATGATATATCTCAAAATATATAAGAAACTCATACAACTCAGTAATGAAAAAAAACCCAATCTGATAAAAAAAAATGGGCAGAGGACATGAAAGACATTTTTCCAAAGAAGACATAAAGATGGCCAACAGACATGAAAAGATGCTCAACATCATTAAACATTAGGGAAATGCAAATCAAAACCACAATGAGATACCACCTTTCACCATTCAGATTAGCTATTACCAAAAGTAAACAAATAACATATTGGAGAGGAAGTGGAGAAAAGGGAACCCTTGTACAGTGTTGGTGGGACTGCAAATTGTTGCAGCTACTATGGCAAACAGTATGGAGATCCCTCAAAAAATTAAAAGTAGATCTACCATATTACCTAGCAATTTCACTTCTTGGTACTTATCCAAAGAAAACAAAAACACTGATTTGAAAAGATATATGCACCACTATGTTCATTACAGTATTATTTACAATAGCTAAGATATGGAAGCAACTTAGGTTTCCATCAATAGATGAATAAAGAAGCTGTGGTGTGTGTACAAGTACAAACACACACACACACACACACACACACACACACAGAGACACACAATATGGAATATTATACAGCTATTAAAAAAGAATGAAATCTTGCCATTTGCGACAACATGGATGGACCCAAAGGGTATCATGCTAAGTGAAATAAGTCAGACAGAGAAAGACAAATACCATATGATTTCACCTATATGTGGAAACTAAAAAACAATAAAACAAAACAGACTCATAAAAACAGAGACCAAAGGATGGTTACCAGAGAGGTGACAGAGTTAGGAGGATGGGTGAAAAGGTGAAGGGGATTATAGACAATAAAATTGTAATAATATGTACAGTAACGATTTTTAGAACTAGTGGGGTGATCATACTGTAAGCTATAAAAATGTCAAATCATTATATTGTACACCTGAGACTAATAAAACTAATATTATATACCAGCTATACTTAAAAATAAAAGAATTTAGTAAAAGAAAGAAAAAAAAAGACCTGGATTTAATCACATGGAGACCTCAGCTAAAGCAGAAATAAGGAGCATTCCAGTAAAAAAAAATCAGTGAACAGTTTCAGATTAAAAGACACTAAAAAGACATGGCTAATGAATATAACACATGACCCTAGACTTGCCCTACCAAAGAGGGAAAATGCTATAAAGGACATTACTGGGTCAAATCATAAAACTGGAATAATAGATGGTAGATTATAGGAAAGTGTTATGTTAATATTAGATTTCCCAACGTTTACAATCATATTCTGGTCATGCAAGAGAATATATCTGTTCTTAGGAAATACAAACTGAAGTAGTTAGGGGTAAAGGATCATGATGTATGTAACTCAATTGGTTCAGAACAAAATAACACAGAGAGGCCTGCATAAAGCAATTGGGGCAAAATACTAACAATAGGTGAATATGGCTAAAAAGTATACTAGTATTCTTTGTGCTATTTTCATTTATGCAACATTTGTGTACATTTGAAATCCTTTCCAATTAAAAGGTTTTTAAAAATCAATTATCAGTGACCAAGATTAATATGTATCTAAAATACTGCCAGACAGAATGTGTCTATTTTCTGTATATACCGTACATGGTAATTACAACATGGACCAGCTCCGCAGACAACAATATGGTAAATATTCCATATATGTTAGCAATTACCATGTACCAGGGCCATGCTAAGTGCCTGAATGCATTGTTTGTCAATAGCCATGCTGTAGTCAAGGAGTATCTTCTATCCCCAGTGCTATCATCCATTATCAACAAACCTTAACATAAAATATAAAAGATTAAAGTACTGAATTTAGTTTACTATGACAAGCTCACAATTTCTATTCAATTCTTTCTACGATGAGGGATAGCCAGGTAAAGCTTTCATTTTAATTTATTATTAACAAAATATTTTTCTGGATATGAGACAAAGACTCTAAAGTGGTCCTTTTCTAAATTTATCTGAATTCAGCTGATTGTTAATATGATGGCAACGAATATAAACAAATCACTTACACTTTGTTAATTTCTCTGGACTCTGTGAAGGCAGCAGCTGGTTATCAGTGTGTGAAAGGGGAAGTTCGAATCCCCCTTTGGAGGCCCAGTCTAGGGGGAGGAAGTCATGAATTATCCATTGTTAATAAACAAGTAGCATCAGAAAAACAAGAAAAGGTAAAAATATCTAATCTTCCAATCTTTGTACCAGGGTACAGTATAGAGGTATAAAACACTTAGAATTTATCTGCAATTATGTGTTTTATTCAAATCATATCAGTTTAGTCCCAGCTAGAGTTAGAGTAGACCTCCTTACAGTTTCGCAGTGGTTTTGAAACACAGTTGTGCACCACATAATGATGATTTAGTCAATGACAGAGTGCATATACGACAGTGATCCCATAAGATTATAAGGAGCGGAAAAACTCCTGTCGCCTAGCTGACTTCCTAGCTGTCTTAACGTAATGCAATGTAGCACAATGCATTACGTGTTTGTAGTGATACTGGTGTAAACAAACCTGCACAGCCAGTTGTATAAAAGTATAGTACATACAATTTCAGTAGTAGGCTATATAGGTTTGTGTAAATATAGTATTTGCACAATGACAAAATTGCCTAAATGACACATTTCTCAGAACGTTTCCGCATCTTTAATGGGTGCATGACTGCAAATACAAAAGGTTTTTTTAAACAACTGCAAATGGATTAGGTTTAGAAAGAGAAGTTCTAAGGAGTCAGAAAGAGAGGAAATAGACCTGACAGAATCTTGAGATCAATAATTATGTTTATACTATTGGACTCAGAAATCCCATTCCTAGAAATTTATCTTAAGGAAATAATTTAACTGGATTGGTAATCTAATACTCAGGCTCAAGCCCAAGTTCCAGTACTGAACATTATAAGTCAAAGTGGGGGTGGGGGGTTGTCACTTTGAGGGGT